TTGTCATTTCTCCGATCACAAACGCAGACATGGTTTTATGTTTACGCGGCTCGATGCAATGTAATTGCAAAAAAAATTTAATTATGTCCCCACTGGATGCAACAGATGCCTCGTTTATAATGGGTTTTACTGGTTTTGTCTCGTCATGCCGGGAAATGACATCACAGTATGGTAAGGGGCGTAACATTTCCGTCACACGCTTGAGGTATTCGGCCAATCACAACGCACTATATTTTCCAAGTGTTTTGGAGGCATATGATAAGGCTGTTATATATTTTTTTAAGCTATTATTTAGTGAAAATACTGATCTTGGTCATTGGTCTGCTGTGTACAACTGTGAGCTCATGAGAACAAATCCAGAACACTAAAGAAATATTCACCTCAGAGAAGAAAGTATCTGCATAATTTTTATAGGAGCTGTGCGTTTCATTTTGATTAACCTAATGCTGCGCTGGTGGGCTTTTGCTGAAATAAACTTCTGCATTAATACAGTCTCATGAACGCACAGTCTCACACAGAAAGACCAATGGCCAAGGTCAGGACTTTCGCTAAATAATAGTTTAAATTTCAGTTCTATTCATTTTGTCAACACTATCGTTAGCCCTCAGAGGACTTGGATAAGCGAGTTGATTAGGATCATTCTATGATACTTTTGAATATTTTTCTTTAAGGCTTGAGGCTAGTTGCTGTTCACTGGACAAGTGCAAACAGGCCTTTTTTGCATTTATCCTTTCATGGTCTGAAAAAGAAAGAAGGTCATAAGGCATTAGAACAACACCAGGGTATTGTTTCATTTATCGGTGAACTGTCCAGTTGAAGTGCATATACTTTTCACCCAACGTAGTATGAAACTTTTCAGTAACACTTTAGTATAGGGACCAATTCTCACTGTTAACTAGTTACTTATTAGTATACCTATTATTAAAATATTGGCTGTTTATTAGTACTTATAAAGCATATGACCATATTCTACATCCCTAATCCTACTCAATACCTAAATTTAACAACTACCTTACTCACTATTAATAAGCATCAAATTAGAAGGTTATTGAGGTAAAAGTCGTAGTTAATGGTTTGTTAATAGCGAGAATTGGACCTTAAAGGGGTCATATGACGCGATTTCAATTTGTCCTTTCTCTTTGGAGTGTTACAAGCTCGCACTGGATACCTGGCCAATCAGAACTCACATCACTTTTCAGACCGATGAGCTTTGCAAAAATTGACGCGTTTCAGAAATGCGGGGCATAGAGGGGACAGTATGTGGAACAATAATGTACAGTATGTGGAAAATAATGTGGTTTTTTTACCTTAAACCGCATAAACACGTTGCATTACACCAAATACACAAAATAATGTTCTTTTTAGCAACATCATATGACCCCTTCACTTTTCAGACCGATGAGCTTTGCAAAAATTGACGCGTTTCAGAAATGCGGGGCATAGAGGGGACAGTATGTGGAACAATAATGTACAGTATGTGGAAAATAATGTGGTTTTTTTACCTTAAACCGCATAAACACGTTGCATTACACCAAATACACAAAATAATGTTCTTTTTAGCAACGTCATATGACCCTTTTAAAATAAAGTGTGACCATGAGTTCATATGAATTGGCAGAATAGTACGAATTTGTTATGCTGTACTTTATACTATGTTATGTATATGGTATTTGCTAATGCTTTTTTTTGTTGTTACATATACAACTACACTGCTGTTCAAAAGTTGCGGTCAGTATTTTTTCTTTTTCTTTTAAGAAACTAATGTTCAGCAAGGATGCATTAAACTGATCAAAAGTGACTAAAGATATTTATAATGCTGTATAAATGCTGTTCTTTTGAATTTCCTATTCATTTAAGAATCCTGGAGAAAAAAAAATCTCAGATTTCTGAAGGATCATGTGACATTGAATGCTGGAGTAACAGTTGCTGAAAATTCAGGTTTAGAAACAGAAAACTCTACATTTATTTATTTTTACAATTACTGTATTTTAGCATTTCACTATATTACTGTTTCACTTTATTTTTGCCTAGTAAGCATCAGATTTCTTTCAAATATATTTACACCAAAGTTTTTAATGGTAGTTTTATTTTATATAATTACTAGTGCTGTCACACGATTAATCGCATCCAAAATAAAAGTTTTTGTTTACATAATATATGTGTGTACTGTGTATATTTATTATGTATATGTAAATACACACACATACAGTATATATTTTGAAAATATTTACATGTATTTACTCGTATATATTTATATTCATATAATTTATATTATATATAAATATATTTAATATATAAACATAACATTTTTCTTAAAGTCACAATATGTAATTAAAACGCACAACATATTAAAGCATCTTTGGTGTTTCCATGTTTTCTACAAACCAAAACCGGAAATCGAGTGGTTATGACGTCATTGGCAGGCGACACAATGACACTATGGACACGGTGCGTGTCACTAATTAAAATGGCTTATTTCTCTGGATTTAAACATTTGGGATAATGTAAGTACACAAGTAAGCAAAATATATAAAATTTTTCTAGTGGTTTTTGGATATTTTAATAAACAAAATCTTACATATTGTGCCTTTAAATATATGCGTGCAAGTGTTTGTATTTATATATACATAATAAATACACAACACACACATATATTAAGTAAACAAAAACTTTTATTTTGGTTGCAGTTAATCGCGATTAATCGTTTGACAGCACTAGTAACTAGATAGTAAAGTTTGTAGACAAACTTTAAGTTGACTTGAAAAAGCCTAGCCAGAAAGTTTGAAGTAGTTTTAAAAGCTTAAAGTTTGAGGGTTTTCAGTTTTAACTAATTTGAAGTAGTTTTAAAGTTTTGAAGGCAATACATTCTATCAGAAAAATAGATAGACAGATAGATAAACAGATAAGAAATAGTAAACTAGCATGTTGCTAGCATGATTAGCAAGTTACTAGAATGTCGTTAGCATGTTTCCAGCATGATTAGCATGTCACTAGCATGTTGCTTCCATTATTAGCAAGTAACTAGCATGTTGCTAGCATGATTAACAAGTGACTAGCATGTTGCTAACATGATTAACAAGTTACTAGCATGTTGCTAGCATGATTAGCAAGTAACTAGCATGTCACTATCATGTTGTTAGCATTATTAGCAAGTGACTAGCATGTTACTAGCATGATTAGCAAGTGACTAGCATGTTGTTAGCATGACTAACAAGTCATTAGCATGATTAGCAAGTTACTAGCATGTCGTTAGCATGTTTATAGCATGTTGTTTACATGATTAACAAGTTACTAGCATGTTGCTAGCATTTTAGCAAGTGACTAACATGCCACTATCATGGTGTTAACATGATTAACAAGTGACTAGCATGTTGCTAGCATGATTAGCAAGTGATTAGCATGTTGGTAGCATGATTAACAAGTGACTAGCATGTTGCTAGCATGACTAGCAAGTGACTAGCACGTTGTTAGTATGATTAGCAAAGTTACTAGCATGTCGTTAACATGTTTCTAGCATGTTACTAGCATTATTAGCAAGTTACTAGCATGTCTCTAGCA